GGAGGGCCAAGGTCCGAAGAAGGAGCATGCTGAGAGAGAGAGGGGCCATGGGGACAGTGCATGACAGAAGAGGGGACAGACTTGAATGGAGCTAATCCCGTGTGCGGCCAGGGGGAGGCGCCCTAGCAGCATGTACACATACACATAGAGACACATGGAGAGCCAGACACAAACCCATACAAATACACACGCCATTTCACACCTCCCAGCCGCCCACACCTCAACAGGACTCCTCCCCTCCCACTGGGGACAGCGGAGACATATGGACACACACACACATTCACACACCCACACAAACACACCCACACATGCACACGGCTGGTACCATTTTTGGCCACACTCCCCAGAAGGAGCAGTCCCATTCCATCCTAATGTTCCAGGGCACTGCATCTTGCTGTGACGTCTGCCCCACCCCCACCAGCTCTTTGCACTTCCCAGGATTGGGGGCAGGGCTGGGGGGCAGGAAGGATAGTGGAGCCGAGAGGCAGAATTCAAATTGGGCTCATGCAAAGAACATAATGAGAGAGACTGACTCTGGGTGGGGGAGTGGGAATCCTGAGGGTTAATTCTCAGATGTTCCCTGGCACAAAACTCCCCCTGCCCATCTGAAAGAGCAGGCAACACCCTGGTGAGATGCAAACATCACAACGGTTCCCAAGGCCGGGGCGTTACCTGCTGAGCGATGGAGCCAGCTGTCAGAGAGAGGCAGAGGGAAAGAGAGACGCAGACTCAGTGATATTTTGCAGCAATTTCCCCTGTGCTCCCAGCCAGGGCTTTCCCTGGTAAACGCCCCAGTCTGGGCTGGGCTGCAAGGCTGATTGGTTTGCCCACAGGCTTGTGGCTGGGTGACAAGGGGCAGGACCTGCTAGATACGCACACACACACACATTCACTCTCACGCACTCTACAGAAGGCAGCCGCCCTTGGCTGCATAGAGACTTACTATTGTCCTCCCCATGGGACAGCCTCCGGGAGCCAGGTGCTGCACTTTAGCTCTGTGTAGCTAGGTGAAGTGAACCTCAGGTGGGGGCATCGGGCTGACCTTGGCCAGCTACATGGAGGTGAAATGTACCTGGGCTTTGTTGCCAGGAGGATCGCACACTTGGTTTGGCTTGTTTCCCCCGGTGAAGAGTCACAGGCTGTGTGTTGCTCGTCTCTGCCCAGGGATCACACAGTTGTGCGTTTGGCGGCGTGTCCACCTGAACCCCAACTCCAGCTCCCTCTGGGGGGGACGGAAGGACTGTGTGAAATGCAGCCCAGCGACTGCAGGAGGGGCTGGGTGCAGCTTGGCAGAAGCTCCTCCATAGCCAGCTGGGAAGAAGCTGTGAGGACATGATGGGAACAGAGGGTCAGGAACCCGGGGAAGACCCTGTCGGGCAGGGACAGGAAAGTTGCAGGAGTCCAGAGGAAAGGCCTGGGTCCCCCTAGCTCTCCCCAGACCTGGGGGAGAAGGGCAGGCTGCCAGGGACACCAAAGACAAGCCCCGGATGGGGGCCTCCTCAGCATGGAGGCCACCAAACATGGGGTTTTCCTGTGGTTTGGGCTGGACTCTGGATTACCCTGAAAGGGACAAGAGGAGCAGGTCACAGCTGCCAAGGGGCCCCCAGGGGCCTAGCTGGCTGGTCAGTAGGGCTGGAGTGGCGAGAAGCACCCAGCTGCAAGGGGGGGGGCCTAGATGGTGAGTCTCTTTGCCCTGGGGGTACCTGTTGGGGAAGCTCCCCAAGGCCCAGAGAAGCATTCCAGCTCCCAGCAGGCTCTAGGGCCTGGGGAGTTTCCGTGGTCAGTTCCAGAGCTGGGAACAGAACCTGGCTCCCAGCCCCCTCTTGTCCCGATGGGCGTGGTGGGGGGAGCGCAGGCTGGAGGAGTGTGTGTGTGGGCATCGGGGAGGGGTTCCAGCTGCAGGCGGGTGGGGAGCGGGGGGACTGCAGGCCAAGGGAGGGGGGAGATCAGGCAGGGTTCCCAGCAGTGGGACAGGGGATTCGTGGGGGGAGTTTACCCCCTTTTTCTGGGAGCCCTGTGAATCAGGAGACCTCACATGATACCCCCAGGAAAGAATCGCACCACAGCCAAGCGCTGTCCTGGGAGCCAGGCGACTAGCCCAATCAGCGGTTCTGTGGCTTCGCTCTTGGAGCACAGTCTTTAGCCACCCAGTTCAGATTTCACTCAGAACTTGTCTTTAAGAGAATTAACTAAAAGTCCCTTTCACCCTAGGACACTTTCTGGTGTACCCAGGGTTGTGTGGTGACCCATCCCCACCCCCCACCCTTTGTGTGAGGCCGGCTTGCCGGGAAAGCAGCAGCCTATGGGAACACAAGCGGTATCTTGAAGGCCTTGTTCTCTCTGCACATATGAGCTCTAAGCACTCACCCAGCCTCCAGCCCTCTGGAGTGCCCGTCCCCGTTCCACCAGGTGCTCTCGGAGCATCTGGGTTTGTGGTTCCCAAAGGAAATTGGTAAGAGTCACTCAGGATCATCACTGAGATCCGTACTGCAAACAAGAATGAGTGGATGAGCACAGAACTGAGGTTCAAGTGACGAGAGCCAGAATATTGGACACAAAGGGTGACGTATAAGACAACATCATAAGGTGCTTTCTAGAGACTAAGCCCAGAGATACATAATTCCTTAAACCTCCCCCAGGCATACGTCTTGCAATGATTCACATGGCCAGTCAGATGCTGGCTTTTATTACAGACCCCTACATGACATTTTCAGGCCTGTCTGACAGTGTGTGAAACAGAAACCTTAGAGGAAGATATCATTCATTAACTGACCAAATAATTCCCCCTCCTCTCTGCCCACTTCCTTCCCACCTCTGAAGTTTGCTTCTGTTCATTATCTTACTCTATTTGTGTTTCAGTTTCTCTGTACATAAAATAACGATAAGGCAGAATAAGATGTAAAATCAGTTGGATTTTTATAAACAAATTTGGTTTGTTTGCAAATGGCAATACAAATAATTGACATATTTTAAGCATTTATATGATATATAATGAAATGTTTCTAGTGTAATTAAGGTTAGGTAGCAAATTATTACCATATATATGTAGTTTGTTGTGTGTGTGTGAAATTAAAATTTAATAAAAATTTAATAGGGAAAAAACCCCAATGAATTACCCAATTAATTATCTACTTTATTAATATTCCTACAGGGAGCTGGCCCAGGGACCTTCCCCATCTCCTTATTGGCTGAGTAGAATTGCCCCCAAAGGGCAGGAGCTGGAATCTCCCCATGTGATATTTGAATGCCGCTCCCAGCTGTTTTTTGGCAATGAATCGCTGACGGAGAGTGGAGCTGTGGTTTGCTACAGGAGATGATGATGATGAATTCGCAGCAGCAGGTGGCACAAAGGATCCATTGGCTATGCAAGGAGAGCGCCATGTGGTGACAATTAGAGGTGAGGTGCTGGCTGCAGGCCTTTCTACACAAGTGGCTTGTTGGTCTAAATCTAAGGAATATGGGTTTCATTTTGGGTGGACGAGATCGGGATTTGAATCCTGGATGAGCCCATCTCTTTGCAGTTTGTGCTGTCAGGAAGACAATTATTACTGGAGATGCAAATTGGTCAAAAACAAATTGTAAAAATCTATCTATCCAAACACTCAAACTGTTTTTAATCTGGCAAAATGTGAATTCATACATCCAGGAAGAGACCAGGAGGGCAATCCTGGTAGGGTGGGGGACTCTACCCTGGGAAGCAGTGTCTTCAAAAAAGATTTGGTGGATAATTATCTGCTCATGAGCTCCCAGTGTGACACTGTAGCTGGAAGGGCTAATGTGGGATGCATAGATAGTGAAATCTCGAGTAAGAGAAGAGGGATTAATTTGCTCAATTTAATTGGGCACTGGTGCGACTGCTGCGGGAATGCCGTGTCTAGTTCTGGCATCAACAATTGAAGAAGGATGTTGATAATTTAGAGAGGGTTCAGAGAAGAGCCATGAGAAAGATTAAAGACCAGATAACATGCTGTATAGTGAGAGACTCAAAGGAGCTCAATCTATTTAGCTGAACAAAGAGAAGGGGTGACTTGAGCACAGTCTATAAGTACCTGTATAGGGAATAAATATTTGATATCTGACTCTTCAGTCTAGCAGATAACATGATTCAATGGCTGGAAGAGAAAGCTAGATAAATTGAGAAGGAAATAAGCTGGTTGCAGGAGCTGAAAGAGTCTGGGTAGATCAGTCTTTGAGCAGGGATGGAGGGAGCTGCAAGGGCTAAGGCAGGTAGTTGCTGGCAGGGACCAGGGAAGTGAGGGAATAGCTACTGTCTGGCTTCCAATATTCACTTAAGACAGGCTATAGGGAAGTGCCTCAGGGAAATACAGTTACTTAAAGAGATGTGGCACATGGCTGCTACTTAGAGGGTCCCTGGGCTGGGACCCGGGGTACTGCGTGAGCCTAGGTCCCACCCACCCCCGTGATGGTGTACCCCATAAGGCTTCATGGGAATATGCTTATGAATGTATATATGATATAACTGGAATATGTTTTATGCTACATATGCCATGTAACATATCTATGTAAAGGTTATGATCTACTGAATACATTTCTCCTATTTGTATGCATGTATCATTTTTGTACTTGAAGTTAGGAATATTGGCTATATACTTGCTTGATTTCTAAGTAACCTTAGTAAAGTATTTGGCCAGCTTCTTTTGAAAAGTATGTGCAAATTAAATGCCCAATCAAGAACCACTTAAGCTAACAATGAATTCGAAGATGCCAATCCACATCGGAGCTTTCCCAGGAATGTGCTTGACTGGTAAGAAACTCAGTCATGCATGGACATGTGACTTGCCCATGTGACTCCAAAACTCCATCTTGGAGCTGGACTTTGCATAGGAGAGAGGAGGGGGTCTCCACCCACAAGAAAAAGTCTACTTAAACCCCTGGGAGGCCCCTCCATTTTGTCTTCAGCTGGCTAAAGAGAGAGCCTCTCCACCCCCAAGGATACCCGAAAGAAACTGGAACAAAGGACAGTAACTGCAGGGGGTGTGAGTGATTGCTAGATACAGACTAGAAGGAGACTAGTCTGTAAAAGGAAGCTTACTGGAATTCCTCTAAGGGTGAGGTTTTTATCTGTACTCAGTTTTCTTACTGTATTAGACTCAGACTTGTGTTTCATTTTATTTTACTTGGTAATTCACTTTGTTCTGTCTGTTACTACTTGGAACCACTTAAATCCTACTGTCTGTATTTAATAAAATCACTTTTTACTTATTAATTAACTCAGAGTATGTATTAATACCGGGGGTGGGGTGGGGAGGGAACAAACTGCTGTGCATATCTCTCTATCAGTGTTATATAGGGCGAACAATTTATGAATTTACCCTGTATAAGCTTTATACAGGGTAAAACAGGTTTATTTGGGGTTTGGACCCCATTGGGAGTTGGGCATCTGAGTGTTAAAGACAGGAACACTTCTGTAAGTTGCTTTTGGTTAAGTCTGCAGCTTTGGGGCACGTGGTTCAGACCCTGGGTCTGTGTTGGAGCAGACTGGCATGTCTGGCTCAGCAAGACAGGGTGCTGGAGTCCCGAGCTGCCAGGGAAATCAGGGGCTGAAGTAGTCTTGGCACATCAGTTGGCAGCCCCCAAGGAGGTTTCTGTGATCCAACCCATCACCCCCCCCCCCAACAAGGGGGTGTAGACATGCTCAGGGAAGGGACTGTCCGTGGAGCTGTTACCTCCAGAAGGGAGCTGAATTGAGACTGACCCAGCTGGAGAGCTGGGGTCAGAGGACTAAAGGGCAAGCAACGAGCATCCAGGGAGGAAGCCCTTCACATGTACACTGGCCAACTAGAGTACTGACCTAGGCCTGTTGGTCAGATTGAGCACCAGAGCCTGGGAAGGGCTACAGAGATGTTGGAGCCCGCAGAGGGCTACAGACATTACTGAGGGGTCTGAGGTAGGCCTGGTTGGACAGTGTGACCCAGAAGGGAGGGGCAGCGTAGGCAGTTTGGCCAGAGGACTGAGTCGCTAAAGACCCTCCAAGAGATCCATCGGCCGGAGGGGGCACTTGTGAGAGGTGGGTATCAGCCTGCTGAAAAGAACTGAGTGATTGCAGGCACCCTTGGCCAGAGACAGGCGGCGCTAGTGAGAGGCAGGTGCCAAGCCCGTTACAGTGACACAGTAATTGCTTTGCAGGTTTCAGATTTTATTGTGTTTAGGGAGCACAGAGACTGGCAGGCAAGGGGAACATGTTCAAAATTAATGAAGAGAACAATGACAAATATAACACTTAATATGACAAAAGTGAAGATTATCCATTCTTAGAGTGAATACGCATCACCAGCAGGGTGAAACTGGTGAATAGTTCTTAATGAAAGGACAGAGTTTGACATGACCGCTATTTGTGGCAGCTGGGAAATGACATGTGGGATGGGGTGAGGGTGGGAAAGGGGCAGCTATACTGTATAATGGGCACTAGGGGCAGCAGAGGGTGGGGGTGGGGAAGGAGGCAGCTATACTGTATAATGGGCACTAGGGGCAGCAGAGGGTGGGGATGGGGAATTGGCGGCTATACTGTATAACGGGCACTAAGGGCAGCAGAGGGTGGGGGTGGGGAAGGAGCGGCTATATGTATAATGGGCACTAGGGGCAGCAGAAGGTGAGGAGATGAAACACCTGTACAATTTGTCCAGTGTTCAGAGGTAGGTGAGGAGCTAGGTGTGACTGTCACGAAGGAGCCGGAGCAGGATTGGAGGAAGCAGCAGGGTCCCCTGCCTACCCTCCATGCCTAGCGCTGGCCCTATGTGCTCTTCACATAGGAAACAGGGAGACGATTCAAGCAGGAGATGACGATTTTTTGTTTTGCGCTGATCCCGGTGTAAGAGATGCTCCAGGGGTTAAATGTGCAGGTGGTGATGCTGAAGGGACTCGTGCTCTCGAATCGGTAGGGCCCGGTGGATAACCCAGCCGTTGTGCAGACTTTGTTGATATCCTTGTCCGTCGCATGGATGAAGGTGTTGGTGTATTTCAAGTACATCACCCGGTCCCACATCATCCTGTTGCAGTAGGCGTTGTTGTTGATGGCGCGTGTCTTGGGGAAGTCCACATGGTCTTTCCGGAATATGTCATTTAGCAGGTTCCACCTCTTCGCGAAGGTCAGAGCCACACAGGCAGCCAGCAGGGCGAGGGTCAGCAGGAATGTGGGGCGGGGTCCCCTCAGAGTCATGGCTGTGTCTGTTGCTGGATCGACCTGCAGCGGGGACACAAGGGGGAGATGGATGGAGATGGTTCGGGTGGGGATCTGCCTCCTCTATGGAACCTGCTGGGCCCAAAGCCTCTTCCCTCTCCCATCTCACTCTGCCCCCAAAGCCCTGCCCCTCCTTGTAACTAGGAGGAGGGAGAAAATTGTTCTCCTTAACCTCTGAGGATAGGACAAGAAGCTATGGGCTTAAACTGCAGCAAGGGAGGTTTAGGTTGGACATTAGGAAAAACTTCCTAACTGTCAGGGTGGTTAAGCACTGGAATAAATTGTCTAGGGAGGTTGTGGAGTCTCCATCATTGGAGATTTTTAAGAGCAGGTTAGACAAACACCTGTCAGGGATGGTCTAGATAGTACTTAGTCCTACCATGAGTGCAGGAGACTGGACTAGATGACCTCTCAACATCCCTTCCAGTCCTACGATTCTATAATTATTCCCACCCCACTGTGCGACGTGTTGCACTAAGCCCCACTGACACCGGCCTCTACACCCTGTCCTCTCTCCTACTGCTCCCCACGCTCTGAACCCAGGAGTCCTGGCTCCGAGCTCTTCTTCCATAGCCACTGGATCACGCTGCCTCTCAGAAAGAAACCCTGCAATAGAATCCCCATATGAGACTGTTCTCTCCTCGCTCCCGGCTGGTGGAATCTACTGCAACTTACCTAAGTCCTTGTTCCTTCGCTGTCAGTAGAACAATGGATCCCAGCATCTGTTAAGCTGAACCTCGCCCTGATCCTCCTGACCGTCTCGGGGCGGGTTATATAGAGCCCAGCTAGGTATGGAGGGGGAGGAGAGCGAGGGGGAAAACAATAAACAATTGGGTAAGGATGACTTCCCGATATCTTGCAATTAAAAGTAGTGGCGCAGCAGGCAGGGCATGGGTGTGGAATAGACAGGGCTCCTCCAAAACATCTCAGGGTGTGTCTACCCACCTTTGCTGCCCTTAGTGCCCATTACACTGTATAGGGGTCCCTTCCCATCACTTACCCACGTGGTGGTAGGGTTAATGTTGGGGAAAGATTGTGTCAGGCTGAGTTCTGGAAGCTGTGACTGAGTTGGATTCTCTTACTGCTCCCTGTTATAAGACACTTACTGCAAATCCCAAATGTCTGGGGTGCGTTTGTAAGCGCCTCAGTGTGTCAAAAGATAAAAAAAATCTCTTAAAAAACAGAGAACCTGCTGCAGAACTCCTGTGTCTCTCCCCCTACAACAGAGTCACTCTGGATTCATAGATTCTAAGGACAGAAGGGGCAATTGTTATACTCTAGTCTGACCTCCTGTATAGCATAGGGCAGAGAACTGTCCCGAAATACTTCCTAAATTAGATCTTTTAGAAAAAACATCCAGTCTTGATTTAATAACTTGTCATCGATAGAGAATCCGCCACAACTTTTGGTAAATTGTTTCAATGGTTAATTACTCTCACCATTAAAAATGTTCATCTTATTTCCTGTCTGGATCATGTGAGACCTTTTTCTGCTAGACTGAAGAGCCCACTATTAAATATTTGTTCCCTATGTGGGTAATTTTAGACTGTGATCAAGTCACCCCTGAACCTTCTCTTTGTTAAACTAAACAGATTGAGATCCTTGTATCTACCACTCTAAGGCAGGTTTTCTAATCCTTTAGTCATTCTCGTGGCTCTTCTCTGAACCCTCTGCAATTTATCAACACCCTTCTTCAATCATGGGCACCAGAACTAAACACCATATTCCAGCGGCACCCAAATACAGAGGTCAAATAGCCTTTCTGCTCCTACTGAAGATTCCTCTTTTCTTTCATCCCAGGATCCCATTAATCCAGGGCCGGCTCTAGGTTTTTGGCCGCCCCAAGCAAAAACATTTTTGGCTGCCCCCACCCCAGCCCTGGGTTCTCTCTCCCCCCTCCCACCCACACTCCCTGCCACCCCAGCCCTGGGCTCTCTTCCCCCGCCCCACCCGCATCCCCTGCTGCCCCAGCCCTGGGCTCCCCCGCACCAATGATGACTCTGCCCGCTCCCCCCTCACCTCCAGCCGGTCTGGCGCTGGCAGGGTTGGGGTAAGCAGCGGGGCTCCCGGACCGCGCCTCAGCCCAGGGTCCCTCCATCCAGGACTCCTGCCTCCAGGACCAGCCGGGACCTGGGAGGGCAGAGCCGGGGGACCGCCCCAGCAGAGGGCTGAGGAGCCAGGGCAGGGTAGCCCCAGAGGCAGCGGAGTCCCGGAGAGCGGGACGCAGGCCCCGCACGGCAGCGCCCCGCCCTCTATGGCCCTGCTGCTGCTGCTTCTGGCTGCCTTGCCACAATCCCTTGGGGGCTTGGGCCGCTTCGCCCAGCCCCGGCTGCAGCGCTGGGGGCGGCCGCCCTGCGGCACCTGCAGGCGGCTCCGTGTGCCCCGTGGGGGGGTCCCCCAGCCTGAGTGTCCCCCGCTCGAAGCCTGCCCAGTCCAGCCACAAGGTTTGGGTGCTGCTCCCCCGCGGCACGAACCGCAGCGGCTACAGGGCGCCCCCCGCACACAACATGCTGCTGCTGACAGGGCTGGCTCTAGGCTTTTGCCGCCGGAAGCACACACAAAAAAATGGCCAGAATGCTCCCCTTGAAAATGTGCTGCCCCAAGCACGTGCTTGGTTTGCTGGTGCCTTGAGCCGGCCCTGCATTAATCCTTTTGGCTGCAGCATTGCACTGGAGGCCAAGAATCAATCCCTGTGGGACTTCACCAAAAACACACCTACTCTGCAGAATCATAGGACATGAAGGGACCACGAGACATCATCTAGTCCAGTCCCCTGTACTCATGGCAGGACTAAATATTATTTAGACCATTCCTGACAGGCGTTTGTAAAACCTGCACTTAAAAATTTCCAGTGATGGAGATTCCACGAAC